AAGACATCATGCTAGCTGAAATGCAAACACTAACAAGCAACATTTGTACATGTTATATGCATAATATAGATCACTTTTAAGGATAACTAAGAACTTAGAATATACACGATAGATCATTTATAAAAGGTAGCTCATAGTAGCATTCAATGAATACTACAATATCCCCTCAGTCAACATTGACTAGCTTGCAGGGGTATGATGGTCATAATGAACAAAATAATATGTTCATGGAGAGTGTGTAATGAATGTAGTGACATTTCTACAGTCGTCACTAATCGCATGCATGTAAAAACACTACCCTTCCACAAATGAAGGAGGTTGAGGCACATAACAACATGACTGAAAGCGATAATAAGAGGCTTGTGAACATTCATGGGTGATGATGAAAGATGTACATAATAATTCACTAGCCAATATCCATAAAGAGATTATTGATGGGTGTAACTCACTTAGTGGCCAAACATCAACATGCAAGTGAACACACCAAGCTGTCTACATATAATGACAATGGATATGGTGCAAGCATAATGAATTCCCTACAAATACAAATGAGGAGTTGCAACAAGTACATCAACATGTCTGCAAGCTGCGACAACAACTATATTGCAAGGAAGAAGGGTCCATTACGATATATGTGAATGAATTTGAGCTCCTATCGACAATGATGAAGGATTTGTCATATGAAAAATAGCATGTCTACAACTGATAATCAATAATGAGCAATGAATGTTACAACGCCGTTATAGTTGACAACCACTCAATGGCGAGCAAATATAGAAGAACTTCAACAAATGCATATTTATGTGGGCCACTATAGCAGATACATTAGTGCATGATAGTCTACTTGCATATAATAACAATGGACTCGTAGTGCATCGCAACAACCTACCCATAAGCAACGGTCAAAGATTCGTGCTGAGCATGAAACAACCTTTGTTAGCCCTTGGGTGCACATTAATGAACCACAAACAATGTTAAATAAAGCTTGAAATGCATAACAACTCACTCTCAAAAGCCAACGAGTGACCTAAAACATAGCGTAACTTTTCACCTCTAAGCAAAAGTAGGGAATTAGTAGTAAAACGATGTGGGTCATTGATAAAATGAAGTAGTAAATTCACAATGTCAGGCTGTCACACAAGATAAATCAACTTTCCTACAAACAACAGGTGGAAGACTCCTGATGTGATATGCAGCTCATTTGTAAGTGGAAGTACACTTCCCACAGGCTAAGTACTGAGGAAAATAATAGCTTATAGAAGAAGAAATGAAGTGCAGTGCCAAGCCACCATATTCACAAGACTCAAAAAAGCTGACATAAGGCATTTATAAATGCCAAAAACAATCCTACGCACTGGTCTGCAATAGTCACTTGCCCAACTAGCTATAACTGAATGTTGTAAATACACTCCCTTATGCTTTAAAACGTGTATTGATACATGCATAACATGCATACATTGCAACATGCAAGATACATGAAGTAAAGCAATCATACTACATAACATGTAAAATGCACAACACAAGCATAATATCTAAAGTGCAAAATGTATTATGCAGTAACAATGCACTATACTAGCATGCAAACACATCATGTGCTACATACAAGTACTGAATCATCATCCCAATGCAATATGCAAGAAAACAAGCAATCCATGTATACATCATATATGCATATCATGCAAAGAGGTTGTACGCTATGTTCATTATATTGTATATCAATATATCGTGCAAGGTGCAAATATGTCATTCAAGCTTGTCACCACATCTAAATACATAAGTAAATTAATACTGAGGAAATACTTCACATAAATGTCACACATGTGTGTCGTATACATCCACCACATATGTATGACAATCATTTATATCATGCAAAAATGTATTCGAAAGCACATACTAGCATGGGCCCCAACGAGCGTGTTACATGTATACATGTAACGTTTGAGGATGTTACACGGGTCAAGAAATGAATCTAAGTTCTAGCCCAATCCTCTTATGTAAATAGATATGAGTTAACATGGTTCAAACCATCGAACAAATATACGGTCGCGACATTGACCGAGATATTTATTTTCTACACTCATATTAGGGCATTAGGCCATCAAGGCCTATAACAAAGAAAATTCACTAATAATGGCATAGTCGAAGACGGATCTAATCCTCTATCAGCAAGTTGATAGAGTCAATAAGGTTCAACCTATAAAATAAAATTGCCCATATTAACCTCGATGATGGCCATTTTGATAAAAAATATCAACCAAAGGGGACCATAAGTATTTAAAATGTCTCTTAAATGTTTATGAAAGTCCAAAATTCCAAAAATCATCCCAAATTTTAAACATATAAAATTTAAATAAATCACTAATATACTTAAAAAAAATTCATCCACCCTCTACAACAGTTTGCTGAAGTGAACAAATCTCAAAATCAGTTTAGCTCACAAAGCGTAAATGTCTGATCGAGAATATCATTAAGATTCATTCTCAATTCATCTATTTCTAGTAAGAGTGTGGCGTATGTTCTCTAATTGGTGGTTACTCTGCTAAATGGCACAACAAGTAAATAATTATGACCAGGACCCTCTAACCGGGTGTTTTTACAGCCAAATGGCACTATAATATTATGGTTATGGTTAGAGCACATATGTTACCCAACGGTGCTAAATTATTAAGTAATATATCCGTAGGATATAATCGAGAGGGTACAAATTCCTCTATTAGCTAAGATCGATTCAAATTTTTTCCCTTAAACAAATATTCACCCCATGTCTACAAGGTACCCTTGGACGAAGCAACGAATGACTGCCGACAAGGATCCTTTTGTCAGGTTAGGTCGACATCCTCCTCTAACTAAGTAGACCAACGACCTTGATGACCGAGGACGACATAATCATAGGATCTTGATCGGTTCTATGATCATTTCCCCTCACCATCCGCTTTAAGTGCAAGGTGATGAATTTCTAATTTTAAATATCAAATACCAAATCATGCTGCTACTATACACCATGTACTATATATATGTTTGATGACTAGCCTTAATTGAAAGTTCTCTCTCATTATTGGGAGGGGTAAATAATTATAGGGGCTTGTGTCTATAGGAAACCTGAACTCGGATAATAAAGTCCTCATAAAATGAGGGGAAAATCTTTGGATGATGCCTTATTCACAACTCAATCTGCCTTCTGAAAAACTGCCTCAGAACTTAGATGTTAAAAATCACCTCAACGACCCAAAGAGAAGAGAAAGGGGTCCACTGAGAGGCTAGAGAGCAAATTTTTAGAGCCCATAACATCAAACTCTTAAATTTGAGGTCTAAAAATATCGAGCAAGCAAAAAAAAAAAAGACTTAATTTTGACTCATCTCAACTCAACAAGCACACCATTTAAATGCACTAAAATAGCGCGTGCAAATACATTGCGCAAGTAGATTGAAAAATGTGTATGTCATTCATATACATTGAGAAATATACAAGTGCTTCATGCATCTACATTGGGAAGCATGCAAGAGTAATAGTAAAAACATATGTATGTCCTCCTATAAACGTGTTAAATGCTCAAACTTGATGTTTGAGGATGCTAAGCGAAAAATAGGGTTGAAATCAAATTTGCTCCACTTCTCGAGAATCATGCAAATGTTTCTAAAATGCAGGCAAACATTTGAAACTTCATAAAATATCTCTTTTAAAATTAAATTTATGAATGGAAGTATATTATACTCTCAACCAGACTACCCTATCAATAATATAAGATTGAAAGTCCCATACCTGAGGCTAGAGAGCAAATTTTTAGAGCCCATAAAATCAAACTCTTAAATTTGAGGTCTAAAAATATCGAGCAAGCAAAAAAAAAAAAAAAAAAAGACTTAATTTTGACTCATCTCAACTCAACAAGCACGCCATTTAAATGCACTAAAATAGCGTGTGCTAATACATCGCGCAAGTAGAGTGAAAAATATGTATGTCATTCATATACATTGAGAAATATACAAGTGCTTCATGTATCTACATTGGGAAGCATGCAAGAGTAATAGTAAAAACATATGTATGTGCTCCTATAAACATGTTAAATGCTCAAACTTGATGTTTGAGGATGCTAAGCGAAAAATAGGTTGAAATCAAATTTGCTCCACTTCGAGAGTCATGCAAATGTTTCTAAAATGCAGGCAAACATTTGAAACTTCATAAAATATCTCTTCTAAAACTAAATTTATGAATGGAAGTATATTATACTCTCAAGCAGACCGCCCTATCAATAATATAAGATTGAAAGTCCCATACCTAACTGGTAACTTGTTAAGCTAATTTGTGAACTCAGACATCTACTAGCACTATAGGCATCCAGAATTGTTCATTCAAAGTATTAAAAACATAAAAATATTTAACTAACATCAACATCACCCTGATTATAGTCGTGTTGTAAAAGAAAAAAACTCAACCAAATATATTATATTTCATGTATTCGATTTTAGATCAACTCAAATAAAAACCATTATACTCTAAATTTGACCTATAAAAAAAAAATCTAAAACCAAATTTTGAACTCCTTGCAAAATAAAGGCAAAATATTTAAGTAGTTGTCATGCATGCAATCCTATCTGCCTTGTAAAATTTAACCTGAAAATCAAAAACTCTCTCAATTGTGCCAAGCATGAATTTTTAGATTCCACAATCAACAAACAGCACACTCATCTTTCCTCAGTGTTTAAGGAAATAGTAAGACGCCATTCAAAAGAAGGGATTGCATTTCAAAGTATTTCACTAATAAAAAGCAATAGAAACAAACAAGTAATCACTGGAATGCAGCTTCTTGAATGGCCAATACAAAACGGACCTTCTCTACCTTGTATTACAAATTTTCTGAAATAAGATTACAGAATACAATCAATTTATTTCCGTCTCAGAACTATCCATCAAGGAAAAAAAAAGGGAAATTGAATTAAAACTGAAAAGGAAGATTTTCTTTATAATCATATTTGCAGTAATTTTAGCAGAAAAAGTCCTGTAATAGATCAACTAAATTTAAAAACCTTTGAAAGAGAAAACTATGTTACAAAGTACACTTTACAAACCTCTGATAAGCAAAACGCTAGAAGGATGTAACAACGTCAGAAACTAGGCAAACAGACTTTCACTACGTAGCCTCCGCCTAGTACATTTGTTTTTTAAAATTTACAGTATGTGGATTTATAAAGTATAACTCAATTCCTTTTATTTATCTAAATTTGATAGCCAAAAGATTTGCCCAGCAGGCTTCAGTCATTAGTACAAAAGAAAACTAAGTTCAAGTTCCTGGTTTCATCTTTCTGGATCCTCAGTGATCCATTGAGAAGCAGCTATTGCTGGTGAGCTAACAACTGTAAATGGCACATCCCGAACTTGAAGCTTCATACTTTGAGAAGCAATAGATTCCAAGACTTCAATACATTCTTTCAAATCAGAGTCAGTTGTCAACATGATCCACTCTTCCTCATCATCCAAATATTTGAGCTGGAATGTCCCAATAGACAGTTTGAATCTCTTTCCAACCTCCTCATACAAGTGAAGGCAGCCCATTGATGGTAATAGTTTAAACCTTACTGTGTCAGCTTTATAAGTAGCCTTTACAGTATAGGCTGGACCTTTATAAGAAACAAATGATTCATTTTTTGAGCTTTCTTTGAAAATTGGGCAGCAGGAAGTGCTCTCATTCGAAGAATCAGTCATACTTGAAAAAGAAGAATGGCTATGTTCCCTCCCTACGTTAATACCACTTTTAACATCCATCTCATCCTCCTTTCCCACTGAATCTGAGCTCATTGGCACGAAGCTTTGAAACCCGCTTTTGTCGGTAGAATATTGGATGCATCCATCTCTTCCCTTAAGATTTACATCTTCAGAACTTAATGACAATGAACCCGAACCTTTTCTATAATCGTATCTGGAAATCTCAACATTGGAAAAAGTCACCTTTGACTTAGTATTGAAATCATTTGGAAGGTGTACTTCATTTGTTTCGGGGTGATATGCGTTTGGTAAGTTCAATTTGCTTACAATATTCACTCTTTGACAAGTGACCTTTCTGTTATTCAATTCCAGCTTCTCATCTGATTCCCTATCTCTACACTCAGGTGAAGACGAAAAAGGTACATCAGCACTCATTGCTATTGATTCTGGAGCTATAGTTGACAATTTTTCTGGTGTCACAGCGGCTACAAGACATCCAGTTTTAGGGTCATATTGTAATGTTCCCTCAACTCCTTGTACAGAGTTTATAACACTCTGGATCTTCTTTAATGAATGATTGACCTTCTTTATCTTGCGAGATGGCCATCTTGAAATTCCTTGCTGTCTACAAATCCTTTTCAATGTGGTGGGGCAAACTGCAAAACAAAAATATCTATTTGCTCAACCAGTCTCTGATAAAAAGATAGTTTATCATCACTAAGTTAAAGAATACGTAAGAGAGCACCTAGCCTATATCTTGAATGGAAACTCACAAAATAATTAACGGTGGCCCACTTATCACAACCAACTATTCCAAAAATTAAGACCAGTGGAGAAGGTAAGATTAAAGCTTTATAGCCATAAAAGCCCATTCACCCCAGATTAAAGGGAGGGTTCCCACCACCCATGACTCAATTGGCTTCCATGGTCAAATTAAAGTTCATGACTTAATCATCTGCTATGATTTTTTATTTTTATTTTTAAATCAACATGATAGGAAATACTTGATTATTTCAAATAAACCCTAACAATAGGTATGAAAAACAGCAAATGATTTGCAAAATCTGATGGGAAAACACAAAAAAAAGTAGTATTTATTGTAGGAATCAAATCAACGGAAGAACTAAAGCACGATACAATTGATCCTCAATTCGAGAGGAAGACCATTCTCTCCCAATCCCTAGACGAATCTAGGGCCAAAGACACAAGAACAAGAACTACTAAAGCAGCCACAAAACAAAAGCATAACCCTAACTCTATGGCTTAATCACTTGTTTAAGCTTTTAAGTGACATTTGACCATGATGGATTTGACCACATAAAAGGGAATCTCAGATTTTTTTTAAAAAAAGTTGAAATTAAGTTAAACCTTAATGAATTTTGTGGACGAGTAGAGGCTATCACCTTGATTTAAGAGAGAGTGATAAGGAAGCTCAACTAAGCCTTAAGCAACCCATCATTCCACATGTTAAGTCCCTTTTTATTTCTTTTTCATTATTAAAAACTTGCTTGAAATTATTTTTATCATTCTTAATTAGTTCGATTGATTGTTTGCAAATGGCATTTCAACCAACAAAATTCATTTGAATTCCATAACGAAGGTTAATATTTGGGAGAAAAAAATCATATTCATTCACAACCTTTCAAGGTAAAATTTCATACCATTTTTAATATGTAGGAATGCGTTTAGTTCAATTCCATCTTTAAGTGACTCAGGATCCTATATCAAAATTTAAATATCATAATAACTTAGAAAACTCTATTTTTCACCTAAAATTTTTATAGTTGGGGAGGGAGTAACCTCTCCACTTAAGATTTGAGACAAAAGTCCTTCGGTGGTTCAATACTTGATTAGACTCTAAACGAGATTTAAATCAAGTTTTGGCTTAGCTAGCATCCGATCAAAGTTAGGTTAAGCATGCACTTTCATAGGTTTACAACACATTGTAAAGTGTTTTGGATGACCTCTTAACCCCGATGAACAAATTCCTTTGCGGAGCAACGTTACTTATTTGTCATGACCCATTAAGTGGTTTATAATGACTCATTAACATGGCAACATGAACTTCTTCGACTAGATAGTTTTATAAAACAACTTTACGATGAGCCGCAAATCTAGAAAATTATGACTCTCTTTGTCATGGCATAAGTTGATTTCTCGAGGCAGGTAGCCAACATCATTTGGGTAACTGACCAAACACATAGCAGCAAGTTGCAAACTACAATTTCGATCATCAAGCGACGGGCTACATAGGGGTGAGTGGCCAACTTCATAGGGCTAGGTAGACAACTTTCCACTTAGTGATAAGCTATTAACTTTATTGATTATGAGTTGCTATCAACATCCTCCTGAGATGAATAGCCAAACTTCTTTGGTCAAGGGTCTTGCCTTTAGTGGTGAGCCATTAAACACTTCGCGTCACATTGTGAACTTTATCTCCAAACTAGTTGTTGACCTGTAAAGTTTAAACAAAAAAAAAATCACATCTTACCTACTCTGCCATCGCACGTCGTCGCCGTTCCCTGCACATCGCACGTCGTTCGGCACGATCTCGCGTCACTTCTCCCCACGATCGCCGAACGACTCGTTTTGAGTCGTTAAAAGCCCCGAGGCAACGAGGCCTTCGGCCTCTCTAGACTCCCGACCCCGTCCCCTCTCCTATCCGTCTCTCGCTCTTTCTCCTCCCAGTCGGATCGGACGTTACGACAGTTTGATCGGAAGCAATTCGGGAGCTCACCAGTTGTGAAGACAACTGTCTACCTTTCGCGTGCTCCTCCGGCTCCCTCTGCCACCGACCGACCTCACCCCTCCCGTCGCCTCCTCCGCACGGCTCTGCTCCTTCGACGGCTTGCCCTGTCTGTCGGATCGGAAGTTAGGCATTTTGATCGGAAGCATCAACAGGAGTTCGCTTTAGGTGAAGGTAACTTTCTCCCCTTCATGCGTTTCTTCGGCCTAATCCCGTAAATCCACCGAATCAAGGGATTTAGTAAATGCGGGGTTTAAGCCGTAAATCCTTAAATCCGGGATTTATTGCCGGGATCTAACGCGTGCACATAAACTGATCGGCTGGATTTAGCATAAATCCGACTTAACTCCCGCTGTAATCCCCGGCCAAATCTCGTGGATCCGCCGAAACAGAGAGGGGAAAATGGAGGATTTTTAATTTGTTTTAAATATCATTAATTATTTTAGTTATTATTTAATTATAATAATAATTAATTTGTTAATTATGATTAATTTATATGTAATAATTAATTATTAATTATAATTATTTGATTAATTATAATTAGTCTCGATTAATTATAGTTAATTATTAATTATAATTATAATTA